TACGAAGTTATTCATACTTATGCAATAGATGTTGTTTCAAGGGTTTGTTCTAACTTTGACTTAAATTATCTAACGAGAACTTAATTGGTGGTAATGGATTTGTGAACTTTCAGACAAGTTATTGAGTTATTGATTGGTTGATGGGATGTGTTCCCTATTTGGAAGTAAAGTCTTGCACAAGCAGTTGTTTCGGAACCATTGAACGAAGCGGTTTTATTCAGACCCTAGGTGGTTTCGATGTGATTACCATCTCTTTTGAGACCCTGCAGTTGGCGCTACGTGGTATATAACCTTTGGTAGGCATCCGAGGTAAGGTCTGCAACAAAGTAACAAAAGAGGGGCATACCGAATAATTCGCATCCGATTCTTGTGGTTGGGAGGATGAAATCTCTTTGGAGGATTTCTAGTTTACTAACAACTAACCTTGTAACCCTTGTTACTTTCTTGAATATCATGTTTGTTTATCTATTGTTGTAATTGCTATTATGTATTGAATTGGGAAAAAATGGATGGGGTGTGTATATGTTTACTGGGCATTTAAAACTCATGGCGTTTCATGCCAGGTATCGAAGAAACATACGAGACCGACAAAGAGCCAGAGACATTTGAAGACGTGTGTCTGTTTTAGAGAAAGTTAGAAGCCATTTTTCTTATGAGTCTATTTGTGCTATTATTTATTTATTTATTTTTGGATTGTAATAGTAATGGAACTCGTTTTGCAATTTAAGATTTGAAGCACTGTAATTATTATTTACTTTTATAATCATATGCCTATGTTCTTGTTACTTATGAGATTTTATGTTAATACCTCTTATGATCTATCATAAAGATAGCTTGCTATCTAAGGTGGTTGGAGTTAGAAGGGAAGCTATATTTACTTTTCCGACCTTTCTGGGATCTTACTTGACTATTGACTAAAGGACTCTTTAGTGATGTTACTAAAGGGTAGAAATTAGGGCATCACATTTAGAAAATTCAAAAATACTCTTACACTTTAAGGTCTCAAATTTATCCTACAATATCAATTAATTATTTTTTTAAACCGCAACATGACACACAGTAAGTTGAATAATGTTTCTAATATAGTTATTGAAATAAATATAAAATTTAAATCTTCACTTCATTTCTTCTTCTTTTTTTAAGACCACATTACGTTAATCCCTAAAATCCAAACATTCCTTCAGCCATGAAAGCCCACTACCATCACCACAACAAGTTCTTTCTACAAGTAAAATCCACCACAACAATCAAAACTATATATAAACTTTTAATTCTTTTCAATAAAATATAAAAAAATAAAGAAAAATAGAGAACAAATGGAAGAGAGAGATAGAGATACTAAAAACAAAATAGTATTCACCATGTTTGTTTTCAGAAAATTGAGTCAACTTTCAAAAAATTGAGTTTTTTTTTTCCGTATTTTTTGTTTTCAGTGAATTTTTTGTAATATTTTACGCATTTTTTTTATTTTATAGGTACATCTATTCTAAATACACTTAAAAAGTATAATATTTATGAATTTTTTAAAAAAAAATTTACCAAATACAAAAAAATAAAAAATAAAAACAAAAATTCAATATATTTTCATATTTTGTTGTATTCAATGAATTTTTTTTTTAATTTTTGTTTAACTTTTTTCTTTTTAAGTATAATAAGATTAAGTGGATCCAAAAATTTAAAAATTTTGATTAAAAGATTTTAAAAAATATTAAAAATACCGGAATACGAATTAAAAATCAAAAAACTATTTTTGAAAACTTAAAACTAAACTGAGTATTGTTATTTCATTATCAAACTTTGATATGAAAAATTATAATTATAAAAATTTTATAGACAGAATTATGCTCAACAGAAAGCAAATTTTGTAATTTATGCAAATTTGTTTAGTTTTAATTTTATCCATTGAATTATGATACATGTATTTTATTATAGAACAAAATATTAAAAGAAGACTTAAGTAATGACTGAAACTTACTTCAGTCTCATCCATTTATAATTTTTTCAAATTATTTTAATTTTAAAATTAAATTTTGAATCATCATCTAAAATCGTGTACAGCATGGGCTTTAGGCTAATATATATCGGAAGTGATTGAGGGCCCTAAATTTCGGGGCTCGAATGCCCCGAAATTCCATTTCAGGTAAAAAAAAAAAAAAAAAAGGAAAAAAGAAAGAAAAAAAGAAAACAGTTTCCAAAATTAGAAATTAGGGGCATTAGGGACAAATTTTTTAGGGCCACCAATCATTTTCCAATATATATATACCAAAACATTAATGTAACTATTTACATTTATGATTCCCTATTCACCTTATGATTTACACTTCTATTATTACTGTCCCATTTGAAATATGCTATTTTAGTTGACTTTTAATTTTTTAACTATTTTAGTTTGGCTAAAAAAAGTTATATATGGGATGACAGTTGCGTTTTTTTTTTTTAATAATTAATTTGATGATTGTGAAAGAAAAAAATGAAATTATTATTATTTGAATATGACATTTTGTCTTCTTCACTATTTTAACGTATTTTATTTTTATTAACTATTTTAACCTAAATCCAACTTCCCAAACACCTATTGCATCCATATGGGTATGAAAGGTTGGGGCTTGTTTCATATTGATCATCTCAACTTGAAAGAGTATTTTGGCTTGATAAGCTCATTTTTTAAACTGATTTCGATGATCTAAACAGTTCACTTTTTAAGACTCATTGAATAGAATATTTATATAAAAAATTACGATGATCAGATATCGGTAACTATATGTTTGAATCAAATTTGTATTACAAAAAATAGATGATTATTCTTAAAATTATATTTGTCATCCATTTTTTTAAGAACAAATATGATTCAAATATAGAGTTACATATGTCAAATCATTTTGATTTTTTACATAAATATTTTACTCAACAAATTCTTAAAATGAACGATTTATATCACTGAAATCAATTTCAACACGGATCTACTAAGGGTTTATTTGGGATGTGGGTTGGCCTCTTGACTTTTTGACTTTTTAACTATTTTAACCTGAGGCTATAAAGTCTTGTTTGATATTATGTCTTATTATGGTTTGGATGTGATATTTTATCTTATTATACTAAAAAGTCTATTTTGTTTTTTTTGTGATTATTTTAACCAAAAAATCCTCATTTTAGCTTATGCCAAATGAAGGCTAAGTTTAAATGGTCTCCCAAATTGTGATCATAACTTAATGAGTAATCATATATGTACCAATTAGTGAACTAACTAGTATATTAATTGATGATGTGACATCATTTAAGATATTTTTGGTATTTATAATTTATATAACGAGTGTGATCAATAATATCATAACTAGTATTAATACACTCATTGATAGATTAATTAGTACATGTAGAGTCAATACAAATATAAAAATAATCTCAAATACAAAAGTAATAATTTAATAAATTTATTTTAATATTAAAATACACAAACTCCAAACAAGCAAAGCTGACAACTAACACAGGAAGAAAAATATGCTCTGATGAATTTTCCATTTATGCCACAAATTTCTTTTTGCATCAAAGAATCTATTTTTTGACAAGCTCAAAATTCAAGAAAAAAAAATTATACTAATCGAAACTCTTTTTTTTTCGATAGTGAAAGTTTTTCAAATTTTTTATATTAGTTTCAAAAAATTAGCCTCTTCAATTTTGGTAGAACTTAAAAGTTTTTTAAAAAATGAAAATTTAAAAATAATTAATAAAACAGATTTTTAAATGTTTGGAATATTTTAAATTGGTCATTTTAATTTGGGAGAGCATTTATACTTGGTGAACCTATTTTGGTGTCGACTTCTGTGATTCGAATCATTTACTTTTTAAAACTTAATTAGTAAAATATTCATACAAAAAATTAAAATGATCAGATATCGGTAACGATATATTTGAATTACATTTGTATTACAAAAAATTGATTTACTCTTGAAATTATAATGTCGTCTATTTTTTTAAAAATAAATGTGATTTAAAGATATATAGTTTTTGCTATTCGATCATCTTAATTTTTTGTATGAATATTATACTTAACAAGTCTTAAAAAGTGAACGGTTTAAATCATCGAAGTCGGCTAGAAAATGGGTCTACCGAATCTAAATGTTTTTTTTTTTAAATTGAGATGACCAACTGAAAAGAATCCAAACCTTAAAAAAAAAATCAAAAATCAAAGTTAAAATATTCCTAAATTTTTTTTAAAAAATCACTAAAAAGATAAGTCATTCAAATTAATATTTTTCAACTCATAAAAAACTGAAAAAAAAAAACTAAAAAAAAAAACTAAAAAAAAAAGTCAAACCGCAAACAGTTCCTTAAAAACAAACTGAGACAGATGAGGCTAGTGGGTCCAGATTAATTAATCCATTTGTGTTAGACACCTTTTACATCACTACCGCACCGTTTTGAAGGTTGATTATTTTAATTAATTTTTTGAATTTTGAATTATTTTAATTTAATTAAAAAAATTATATTTAAAGAGATGATTAATTTTTTTTTATAACTGATTTAATGATTATAGAAAAAAATAAAATGATTATGAATTAGATTTAATATTTTGTATTAATAATTATTTTAACTTATTTTATTTTTATTAATAATTTTAATCTATATAGCTCTTCCCAAACAGGCCTTATATTCCATTTCATTAAGGCTAGGATGAGATGAGACTATAACTGCTCCATTTGTGTTAGATAAGGCTATTAACTCACATTGGCCTATTTTAGAAAGTAGGTTAAAAGACATTTTCTAATTTTTAATTCACTTCCCACTCTCACAAAAAAGTTAAAAAATAATTTTTAATTATCTTTCTAGAACACTCCATAACACAAAATTTATGAGACTAGTAGGTCCTTGGCCAACTACTCCCCATTTGTCTTAGATGGAAAATACTATACGTGTCAAGTGATTTATTAAATTTTTCATCAAATTTTTTATATTGGTGTAAGATTTACACAAATCTATATGTATATGAATTCTATATCCATATGATGATTCTGACCTACATCACCTTAGAAGCCAGTGCCGGCGGACTCTTCTTGAATGTCCAAGATTTCGACTCTGCGTTTCATTTTCTTCCTTATCTTTATAGTCACATCGGACGGTCTAAATCTCCCGCACACAGACACCCTGCAGTGTTGCTTCTCTATCAAGTGTGTCTCTATTTCTTTAGCATTGTTTCACAAGCAAAAGAATTGTTTTACTCAACAAATTATATATTTACCAGACAAGAAAATCAATTACTCGGTTTGTTTTAGTAGAAAATAATTTTCTATTAAAAATAATCTTCATAGAAAAGGCATTAATACGATGGTAGTGTGGTGATGGTGATAGTGGTGGTAGGATGGTAGAGGTGATGGTTTTTGTGGTGGCGTTGATAAAATTTCAGTCTAGAAAATGTTTTTCGCACAAATGAAATATTTTGGATAAATTACACCGATAGTCCTTATACTTTGGCCCTAATGTCATTTTGGTTAATGTAATTTCAATTAGCTTAATTTTGACTCTTAATTATCGATTTTGTCTCAATTTAGTCAAAGTGATTATAATTGTTTGTATTATTCTATGACAAATGCATACATAAGCTGCATGTATCATGTGTTTAGAGGAAAAATTGTAAACTTGATCAATTTAATGAGTTAATTTCAACCAATTCAATGATTATTTTTCACAAAAAACTCTAATGACATTGTCAATTGAACCAAACAAACACAATTCAATGATTATTAAGACCTTACCTTTCATGTTGAGGAGGATTGACCTTAGTTTCCTGTAACAACCATTGCAGTCTATATTCATCCTCATCACCATGCAGCAATACTGCAATTTTACCAAAACAACAGAACAAAAAATAGAAGATAGAGTTTATTTTTGAAAATCTTGAATATTAGGTGAGAATAGAATAAAAAGTTGATAAAGATGCTTTTAGAGCTTGCCTTTATTGGGTATGCTGACATTAAAGCTGAGAATCGAACACAGTCAAGATCAAGCTATTGATTAGTATGAGGATTATGAAGAATTTGAGGGCATTTTTATGATGATGATGAACAGTTGATTAATGTTTGGATTGTCATGTGGGAATTCCTCTCTTGCATTTTGGAATCTGATTCTGCTAAGGCATTGTAATATTTATGCTTATTGTGATAGACTTTCTTCTTCTTCTTCTTCTTCTTCTTCTTCTTTTCCCTTTTGTGTTTCTTATGATACGATAGCATGCTGATAAAGGGAAGCATCTATTACTCATTCCTTGTGGGTTTCTGTTAGGTTGAATGGGACATTATTAAACATCTCTTTCTTGTTAACGAAGTTTTATGCTCTCCCTCTCTTCACTCTCTTGTTTACAATTAAGGCATCCATCTCTCTCTCCATAGTTCCCAAAGAAGGATTTGTTATTGGTTCTCCCCTAAAAAAATTTATGAGAATTAAAAAAAAAAATAAAAAAATACACAGTGGATAGTAGTAGGGTCTAAGGCCCTGTTTGATTATTTGGAGTACTAGTGATGGGATTAACAATCTCATGGGATAAGTATGTGTAGAATTGCTAATACCTACTCTCCTTTGGTATTAGATATACGAAAATTTTGTAGGATTAAGAATCCTACGTATTATTAAGCCATATGCCGTTTGTGTGATCCAAATGCAAGAATATGAATTTGATAGGATTAACAGTCCAATCCTACATCTTTATCATGTAATCAAACAGGTCCTAAGAAAGGTAATAACACTACAATATATCAAATCTAAAAATAAATACAAAAAAAAAGCACTACAACATATAAGGATTTTAGGAACCAATTTTTTTTATCTCCAAAAATAAAAATTCTGTTGCAAAAAATATTAGGAGATCTATTTCTGTCGTCACTAAAAGGCTATATTAAAGTTAAAAAAGAACTTTTATTGGCAAAATTTTAAAAATATCGCTAATAAATACACTTTTAAAATCAAAATAATTTGGTACTAAAAAGGTTTTTTGAAACAAAAATTTTAGATCCAAAAAGATAGTAATTCATCATTAAATGTCTAATTTCATTGCTAAAAATATAACAATGACACTTTTGACAATTAAAATATTTCCTCCTAAAAAGTAATTTTATCCTTAAACTTTTGTCTCTAATATCTTAATTTGATGTAGTATAAGTTGTCAACTTTCTCATTGTGGAAAGTCCCTCACTTTAATTCACGCTACTCAACACTAGGAGCGAAAAGCAATTGCGATTGTTTCAGGTCACAATGTCTATAAAATTGAAAAATGATTCTTAGGCCGATTAATCATGCCAAAGCCGATCACACATTCATACTATGTGGTCGGTTTTGGCTTGATCAGTCCGTCCAAAATATTAGTGCTCCTGCAAATTTAAAGTGATGAAATTGTGCTGTTATTGAAGAGTAACAAGAAGGGAAAGGAAAATAAATTAGGGAACCATACAACACATTTAGGCTGAACAATAATTCTACATAATCAGAGAAGTAGCAAATATTTGAAATGAATAAATCAAATTCTAGGCACTTTTCTACATATTTTAAATTTCTAAGATTTATTACAAAAATTATTCACTGCCCACTGTTAATTTGTGTGTACCGCATTTAGCTTAGATAGTGAATTATATAGAAGAGTTATTTATTGTAACAACCCTCTTAGTGATCTACTAACCGAATATATATAATAATAAAAAAATCATTAACGCCCTCGATATACCAAGTGTGACAAGGGAATATACAATTTTATCAATACTGAGTGACATTTACAATGTTTTGTTTCTTTTGTATTTTTGTTTTTTTATTTCCTCGTAATAAACATATATTTTTGTATTCTGTTTTTTTTCATTGTTGAAATGTAGGATCATCTGGGAGAAGTGCGAAAGAGGCGTGTGATCATTGCGACTTTGTTGAGGGGCTTCCTGGAATTTGCAGCAACAATTTGGCTAGTTGGAGGATGTGCTTTAACAAAACTACCAGTGAGTGTTATCTTCTTCTCCAACACACTCACCACCACTGACTCTGTTTCCCCTGCACCAGGAATTTTTTTAATTTAAATTTCGATTATCGTCAAGATAATACTTATATCACTTGCTAATCAAAGGGGGCAAAAAACTACAATCAGAAACGGGTTAATTACATTTTTTTTTATCCAAAGTATGATTCGCGTGTCATTTTAGTCTACAATGTTTAGATTATATCAATTTGGTCCTCAATGTATAAAAATATTTCAATCTAACATAATTTAAATGTTGGGGACAAAATTGAAATACTTTTATACAATACTATAGGGACTAACTTGACACAATTTTATACGTTGAAAACCAAATCGACTCAATTTAATATTAAAGACAAAATAAAAAAGTAAAAAAAAATGATACACGACTTCTATTTTGATGATTAAAAATGTAATTAAACCATCAGAAACTGAACTAGAATTCAGAAAATGCAATGGAACTATCTACACTAAGCCAATTACTTGATTGAGAATACAAGTCATGGTGATCAATGCATATGCAATGAATGGTATTATCCACATGGTTTTGGTCCCACCAAGAACAATCATACATAACTAAACTAAGATGAGAAAGTATTTTTACTCAAACAGGTACATCATGGTAGCGTATTGGTTTACTTTCAATCCATATATTGTGAAAGTTACACTACCAAGGCTACAATTAGTAATTGGATATGTGACTTGGTCCAATGGTAACATTTATTGTTAAGCGTGATTTGATAATATTTACTACTTACTGTTTTTTTGTTTATAAGGAAATATTAAAAGTACTTACGTTTATTTTTAATAAAACCAAAAATTAAAACAAAAACATGTATGTTTTTTTAAAACAAGTGAGAGAGATGATCCACGGGAGGTTGTAGCCGAGGTAATTGGTGATGGTCGGAAATGGGTAGGCAGAGGTGGTTATCGGTTGCAGGAAGTGACGGTTGAAAGTAGTTGTCGTCAGTGGGAGTTGGTTGATAGCAATTGGAGGTGGTTGTCGGACATAAAAAGTGGTTAGTGATAGTTGTTGGTCGCTGAAGGGGTTGGGAGAAGGAGGAAGGAATGAATTTTTTTTTCTTCTAAGTGCGTAAAACCAACTCTCTTTTTTTGTTTTGTTTTTTTGTTTTTTGCATTTAGAAAAATTTAGTAAATTTTATGAACTGCTTATCAAATTTTGAAAACGAATTACTGCCCATTACACACAAAAGTCTGGAATTTCAGCTCAAGGAAAAAATATCTTGGCAATTTATAGCAGCTTTGATGATCCTTTCACCCATGAAACTGAGAAAGAGTTAGAGTAGCAGTACTTAGAACATGTTTGATTTCTCAAAATCTTAAGATCAATTTGTTTACTAATCTTGACAATCACTCTGAAGAACCCCATCCCAATCTGAGGACACAAAGCTTCTTGATCTCTGGAAAAGTTTCTCTATCCTAGAAGTTAACCCTCAAAGAAAGTTATCCATTAACCAAAACCCAACTCTTTTGGCAGCAAGGGAAAAGGGCACCTTTTCTGCTTTGAAAGAGAATAATATAATTTGTACATTTGATACCCTCTAAGAAAGTACTTCCAAAAAAATAGCTCAAAGTGATTGCAAAGGAATCCAATGTAAAAATTGGCCAATGCCAAATAAAGAGAATCTATATCAGAATTAAGAAAAAAACAAGTGTCTTGTGGTAGGAAAGCCTTGTTTAGTTTGGTATCCAAGGGGCAAAAGGGTCTTTACATGGACCCACATATGTTGAGATCACAACGGTTACTGAGTGCAAGAGCAAAGATATTGACAAGGCTTGTTTATGGTTGCCAACTGGAGGTGATATTGAGTGTTTTTGGGCCCATTACGTAATCTATTTTGATAATTTTAGTGGCTTATTTTATAGAATTTTTTGAATAGATAATTCATGGGGAAAAAAATTATTTAAAATAATGAATGATATATTCTAAAAACTATACTTTAAAAAAAAAAAAAAAAAAACTACAACCCAGAAAAATATATCCAAAATTTATCAAAAAACATCAACATGCAATTCAAATTCATTATACACACATACTCCATAATACACAATTTTAATCTCTACTACACAAGTCATTCTTTGCCAAATCCTGGGTCCCTAGACTTTTTGAAAAAAAACAAAAAAAGTTGACAAATTTTGAAAAAATGCCCGTTAAAAGACAAAAATAAAACTAAAAAAGAAACCTAAAATAGAACAAAAATGCTAAGGATATTGAACTTTGTAAAAAGAATTTTATGAGAACCAAATCAGAGGCCAAGAAAAATTGTCCTTCTAAAAATTATCCATAAAGATAAAACCATGTTCGTTACGTCTTACATTTGTCTCTCGTTAGAATTTTTTCCTAATATAAGAGAGTGCAAGAATTTCAGGAATTGATCTTTGTTTTCATCTCAATTGAGGGTTTATATATAGAGGTTATAATAACATAGAACATACCGAGATTAAGCCTATACAAATCTCCTAAGCAAGCTTGAAGCTAATGGCTTTTACAGGTGATTGCAAATCGTGCCTTTATGGTGATGTTCTCCTTAATATCATTTTATCCATTCATAACTTTTTCCCCCTGAAAATATACTGAAATGCTAGGAGACTGGTATCCAATTTGGAAAATGAGATCATTAAAATCGTTGGGTACATTAATATGACTGGTGCACTTTCATTGTTCTAGGTATAAAAGGCATATTCATATGACACGGATCATTAAAATCCAAACATTTTTCAAACAAGAGTTTATATGAACACAGCATATCTTATGGTTTATACACAACACTGTGCGATTTCAAAAATAAATAAATAAATAAAATCTAAACCCCAAAATCTCAAGTCAATCAACAAAAGAAAACAATAATAATTGCGTACTTGACGCCATTGATACTATAGAACCTCCACACATTGAAGCCTTTAGAAAAGAAAAAAAAAGGGGCAAGTTACAGAAATGGTCCTTATAGTTTACTCGTATTTTTATTTTGATCCCTGCACTTTTAATTGTTTCAATTTTATCCCTGTAGTTTGGTTTTCAGTTCGAAATGGTCCAATAGTTAACGGCGGTTAGACATTTGGACAAAAAATCGACGTGTGCAAGGCACGTGCAGACCAATTTTGACTTTCTTGAATGTTTTTTGATCAATTCAATTTGTTTAATAGATGTTTTATTTAATTTCATTATTTAATTATTATTAATTTTTTAAATAAATTTATTTAAAATTTTAATTAAAAAAATAACATATATTTTGATTTATTTAATTTTTCAAAATAAATTTATTTAATTGTGTAAAAAAATAAAATAAAATAATTTTTTATTTAATCTAGTTAAAAATAATTAAAATATTAAAGATATATTTACTAAATAATAGCGTGACAGTAAAATAGACATTTCACACGTTAGTCCCATGGAATACCAAACTCATGGAAATAATCTCTCTCCCTAGGATTGTTTAATCCGTCATATGAGAGATATGAAGTCCGGCTAGATTCCATGGCACGACAAAGAGATTATTTGCTTCTAGAAGATTTGCTTAGACTCCATTTGGTAGTCTTTAATTATTATTTTTTAAATATTAAAAATTAATTTAATATACATAAATATCAAAAATAAAATTTTAAAAAATATTAAAAATTATTTCCTACCCAAAAATAAAAAATCAGATGAAAATAATATATATTTTTATTTTTTTGTCAAACTAATTTTTAAAATTTTAATATTCTTCAAAACATAATTTCTAGAACTCAACCAAATAGAGGTGTAATGAAGTAACCTGTCTCTTTGCTAAAATATAGTTTTTATTAGAATTTAGCTAAAACATAGTTTATTGACTCGAAATCAACTTATAAAAATTTAATACTAAAAAAACTAATTTTTTTGATACATTGTTAACTTTTTGACCAGTGCAGTGTTTGGTAATTTTTTCAATTTTTATATTTTTATGTAAAATTACCAATTTTCCCATGAATAAAAAAAGTTCATAAGAATAATGGATAGAGACAAAGTAGGGAAATTCCATACGTACAAGGCATGCATCGGACAATTTTGACTTTCTTAAATAAAATAAAATAAATTTTTATTTAATCTAACTAAAAATAATTAAAATATTAAAGATATGTTTAATATTGCTATTACTTAGTAAACAATTGAAAAATGATAAAATAGTATTTTACACATTTATCCTTATCTAGTTCGTCCAACTAAATATTAGATTTACTAAAAATAGTCATTTCTAGACATCTAATCCCATGAGAAAACAAGCACGGGATACACATCCAATCCAACTAAATAATCTGAGGATTCATAAAAAATACATATTAATAATATAAATTATAAATTATGGCCTTATAAATAAGACAAATAAATTTATAATTTATAAATTATTTTTTTTAGTGTTGTTAATTTAAAATTAGATATTAATAAAAAATATAAATTATAAATTTAATTTAATTAAAAATAATAAATTAAAAATTATGGCTAGATTAGAAATTATCTTTAATATTTTAATTGTTTTTAGCTAGATTAAATAAAAATTTATTTTATTTTAGTTTTTACACAATTAAATAAATAAAATATCAATAAAAATATATGTTATTTTTTTAATTAAAATTTTTAAATAAATTTATTTTAAAAAATACTAATAATTAAATAATGAAATTAATAATAATTAAATAATTAAATTAAATAAAATATCTATTAAACAAATTAAATTGATTCAAAAACATTCAAGAAAGTCAAAATTATTCAAGAAAATCAAAATTAGCCCGCACGTGCCTTGCACGCTTCGATTTTCTGTCCAAATATCTAACCACCGTTAACTATTGGATCATTTTGAATCAAAAACTAAACTATTAGGATAAAATAAAAATACGTATAAATTATAGGGATCATTTCTATAATTTGTCCAAAAAAATCATTTAACTTGGGAAGAGAGACTTGTCGAATCATTGAACACAGTGTATGACATTAATAGAAACAAAAATGCTTTAGACCACTAATTAGTGGTGGCTCTAATGATACCCACTGCTACATGTGTTTTGTGCCTTGTTTTTTTTTTTTTTTTTTTTCAATTGTCACTTTACTAGTGATGATATTAGTAATGATAAATTAGTGATCTATAACATTGCTCTTAATAGAAAACACACTGGCAACTCCCGAATTGTCAATTATTAAGCATTTATAAGACCCGACAATGCTACGTAGCTCAAATTTTGTGGCTCAAAAGTGGCTCAAATGGCCAAAACGACGTCGTTTTGAGTACAGAATAACATAAAAATGGCCAAAACGACGTCGTTTTGACCATTTGAGCCACTTTTGAGCCACAAAATTTGAGCTATGATACATTTTCCTATAAGACCCAACAACTGTTGAATATTGGTTCTGAAGTGAATATTGGCTGCGAATCTTGGAAGATTGGAAATCCACAACTGTCAATTGTGGTGGCTGGGTCAAGAAAATGAGTGTGAAGCTGAGCTGGGGAATTGGTGCTAAAGATTTCAGGTGAGTTACTCCATTGGTAGGGAGCATCAATGTTGTTGGTGACTTGTGTCAGGAAAAAATAAATTTCAGCTCATAAAAAGAACTCGGATAATCCATTAAAATAGTATATAAAAGAGGAAATTTAAATTTAATTTTACTTGGGTCCCTAAATTCTTTTTTGTCTTATGATCAACCACTCTACACGGGAGAGACAACCACAACTACATAAATTATATTATAATTTTTAATTAGGATTCCAAATTGTAAATAGAGACATGTAGGATTGCTGTACAATGAAAAAAAAAATACTCTATTTTTGCTCCGAAAAAAAGATCGATAATTGTAGACAACAAATAATAATGAGGGTCAAATTGATCTCAATTCGAATACTTCAGATATAAAACTTAAAAATTGTTTTTGAAAATTTCAAATCAAACTCAAACTCAAACTCAAACTCAAGTTGATTCTACAATTTTATTTTAAAACTCGTTGATTTTACATCTTGATTTTAAAAAACGGGTTGATTTTATCATTTGAATTTAAAACTTGAATGATTTTATGACTTATTTTGAAAATGGCTTTACTATTTGATTTTAAAATCGTGACAATTTTCCCATTTGATATTAAAAATTGATTCTAATTTAGGTCAAGTTTGGCATGTGGTCAAAAAATCAAAAAATATTCAAAAAGTTAAAAAGTTGTCACTATTCACCAAAAGTCAAAAATTACGACGGCATAACTCACAATCTTAATTTTCTCATACACACTAATTTATATAATTTTTTAATACATATTTTTTCATAAAAAGTCAAAAAGTTAACCCAAATAACCATATTTTTTTCCTCAATATTTTAGTCTAAAAAATTTAAAAATACATTTATTTAGAACATCCCAAACAACCACATATAATAACTTTTTCATATTTATAATTAATTTCTTTAACCAGAAAATTACAGCATCTTATCCTATCATATAAATAAAATAAAAGTAAAGGTATGCCTTTTTGTTAGCATGGCTAAGAATCTGTCAGATGTCAAGCTAATCACTTGCCATGTGTCTGTGTTTGTTTCTCCTTTTCGAAGTGTGGTTCTTTTTGAGCTTGGCACTAGGATTTGTAGTTGGTTTTTGGATTGTGGTGGGCCTTTTACTCTTCAAGATGTCTTGGAGAGATGCTTATTTCGTGTTTTTAGACCGTATTGGGAACAAACTTAGCAATTTTATTTTTCAACAGTGATGCATATCCTCAGTGGGGGTCGCACCCCAGTGAGGTGTCGCGCCTCCATTGACTGAAACCTAAAAAAAAAAAAAAAAAAAAAAACAGTTTTTTTTTGTCCAATTATTGAGTGCCACCTCACTGGGGGTCAACCCCCAGTG